GAAGGAAGGAAGGAAGGAAGGAAGGAAGGAAGGAAGGAAGGAAGGAAGAAGGAAGGAAGGAAGGAGACTGAAGAAAGGGAAAGGAAGAGAGGAAGGGAGGGAACCATCCTGAGGCATCCCTTCTCGTGTCGGGCTGGAGAGGACAGTCCAGATGTAGAGAACTGTAGAGATGACCATGGAGAAACTATGCAGCGGCAGTTGGAAAAACATGTTTAAAGTCCAGGGCCGGAAGAGAACATTAGAAGGAAGCTCAGCGTAGCTCCACCTCGGCTGGAGGGCTGTCAGGCTTTGAAGATTCTGCTCTGACCGCCGGTATCAATGGAGGGCACTCTGTTTCCAGACCCAGCTGCCCACGGGTTTGGTCCAGCCGGGCTGCCCCTCCATGCATTTTAGGCCTCCCTTGTGCTTTCTGTCTCCCCCGGTTCCTCGTGAAGAACGCCCCTTGCACTACAGCGAGAAGGTCCTTCCCATCGTGCACAGCCTGGGGAAGGACAGCTACCTGGTTGTGAAGAAGCAGCTGTCGATGGAGAACATGCTGCTTTACTTGGGTAAGTTGTAAGCAGCAGGAGGCAGGCGGGACTCTGGGGGAGGCTCTGCAGACCCTTGTTTTGGGGACCTGGCTCAGCTCGGGCACCCATCTCTGCACACCTTGGGATCATTCGGGGGGGCCCTTGGCGAGCAGTTTCAGGGCCGGGGAGAAAAAGTCCCTCCCCACCCCCTGGCAGTGACTTGCATCGGTTGGTGACAGGGGCTTCGGTGGGTTCTCACGTGGGGACGATGTGGGTTTAGGGAGAGAGGTCTGCCAGCCTGGTGGAACTTCTGGGTGTAGGAGCAGTGTACCTTTAAGCAGCAAACGATGGTAACCAACGTTGGGAGGCAGAGGGGCTGCCCCACGTCTCGCTTTCCTGCATGTGGATCTTGATTGTTGCGTTTGCCTGCTGCTGGTGCAGACTCGGCTCTGGGTCTTGTTCCCGGGGGAAGACCAGGATGGGCGCCTGGTGGGACCCTCCCAAAAGATCCTCCCCCCCCACCCCCGGTCTCTCAGAAGTGCGTCTCCTGGGCTGCTCCTCCTCTGGCCCTTTGCCCCCTTCCCCACTCGGATGCCCCGAAATGGCGCAGGTCCTTCTCTTGGCCAACCCTTTTCTGCCCCCCCAGCCAGCAAGGCGGGCGACAGCAAGCACGGCATGATGAAGTTCAGGGAGGAGAAGAACGTGCTCGGGGTGGGGCTGAGCACCGGCTTCCACGACCGATACTTCATCCTCAACAGCCACAACCTCCGTCTCTACAAAGAAGTCCGGGTACGTTCGGTCTCTGCGACTTCCGCATCGTTCTGCCCCCCCACCGCCCCCCCCCCGTCCCCCCTCCCCCACCCCTTTCCAACGTCTCCGGT